GTTTGGTAGGGATGTGTGTGTACGTGTTACAGGTGTTTGTGTATATTCGTGTCTCTCTTAGCGACATGGAAGCACGTGTAACCGGGCCGAGGAACGTTATTCTCAGCCGCGTATAAAAGAGCCAGTGTTCTCTCTCTCTGGAAATTTTATTAGTTTCTCTCCCCCACTTCGCGATTTTGATGTCCCCAGTGAGCCACACGCGCACGGCCAGGCCCGTTTAAAAATATGGAACCAGTGTGACCAGAATGGTTGCTATGGAAGAGCTCCGGTTTACCGGACGGTCTTAATCCGACTCGGGGCGGGCCGCGCTGGAAATGAAAAATCGACTCTTTATTAAAGAGTGATCATACAACACGGTGCTGCTTGTTCGGGTTTTATCGGGCCACGTTCCGCGGTTTCCCGCGCTTGGAACCGCGCTTCGGGCTTTAATAATAATATAGCTTCTCTAAGGATCCGTCGAACACAATTGGAACAAAGTTTCTGTTTGACCGCGCGAACCATCCTCGCATCGTGGACTCTGTCCTCCCCCCTGCGCGCGAACGATAGCCGACGATCCTTCTGAACGCTGATTAAAAATCCTTTTTTGATTTTCCCTCTCTATCCCTCGTGTATTACACTATCAAAGCTCTTGGAACTGATCCCGTTAAAAACGGAGTCCACGGAGGATGGTCGTTTGTAAAGGAACGAAAGCACAAGACAAAAAAAAAAAAACAAAAAAAAAAAAAAAAAAAACGAAAAACATTAAGACGAAAGCGATTCGCGGCGCTTGTACACACAAGCGAATCTCGAGTAGAACGCTAGTTTCGGTTACACCGAAAAACTAGACAATTCGCGCCCCGAGCGGGAGATCGACGCGTTCCCTCGTTCATTTACGCGGTACATCTCGTTTACGCGGAGAAAAAAAAAAAATAAAAATAATCAATTAATTAATTAATAATAATAATAAACCTTAAAAAAAACGTTAAAAAAATAGAATCCAAAATCGAGTAAGGAGGATTGGCAGTTTCGCCGTCCCCCGGCTCCCATACAGCCCCGTTCCCCCCGTCGTCATTGCGTCTCACCGTTAGCCGATCGGTTCCTGATCGATCGTTACATTTCGTTACCGTTACCTTCGATCTCTTCATCGTCACTGTTCCCCCTGTCCCCCCAACCCTTTCTCTTCTGCGCGCCGATTCTGCAATTTCCTGTTTCTTACTCCGCTCCTCGTTCCATTGATCGGTTTCGAGGAACGTTAATCGGAGCACGAAACAGGTCGATGATGATAATGATGATGATGATGATGATGATGATGATAATGATGATGACGACGACGCCCATACGATCTTCCTCCTCCTTCTCCTCTTTCGCCATTCCATTGTGACCATTTTCGCGCCCGGACGACGACGTCGACGGTCCCCCCTCGAGTCTCACACCGCTTTTTGCGCACACGCGGCCACCACCACCCCCCATTCTAGACGAGCTCCTGTTTGTAGATCTTCTCTTTGTGCATCCGTTCCATGTGCCGCGCGATGTGCATTTTCTGCTTCGCCCTGTAGACGCAATGGGGACACTGGAACTGTGGCTCCTTGCCGCACTCCCATTTCTGATGATTCCTCAGGCTGCTCTTCAGCTTGTAGACCCTACCGCACGCGGGACAGTTGAACCCTTCCGGATTCGAGGAGCCGGAACCGATACCCTTGCCAAGACCCCCTCCGGACCGCCACATGATCGATGGCACGCTCCATCTCTGCCAGGCGGCTGCCCATTTCAGCCCGGTGATGCTCAAGTCCTCGGCTGGAACAGAGGATTTCACGGCTTTATTAGTACTTGGTGGTCTCTACGCTACCAGACAGAGAGGATCGGACGGTCTTTTTAGTTTCCACGCGTATGCGTGTGTGTGTGTGTGAGTGTGTGTTCGTTTCGTATTGTTCGTACATTTGGTTTTTGTTTTTTGGTTTCTGTTTTCTTTTTCTTTCTTTCTTTCTTTCTTTTTTTTTTGGTTGGAGAACACGGGTGTCGACAGTACCGATCCCCGGGTGTGTGTTCGTTCTACAGGAGGCCAGATTACTTATGGTTTTACAGGCTTACACGCTAAAAGATTTTGTTTTCGTTGCTGCGTGATTTTCGTTGGGCGACTTTCGGCACCGTGGGGTTTGTACAGTCGCCTGAATGGAACGAAAGGTACCCTTTTCGACTCGCTATGATGGTAGACGATTTTCTATTCAATATGGTTTGTAAGATTTAACGTAGGCGAAGTGAAAAGGCACCTTTCGCCGATGATCCTGGAAATAGGCGTCTTGTAACGGGGTAACCGAGAAGGAATCGATTTTCACGACCGAGTGAAAAAGAATACGATGATCTCGATTCCGTCTCGGGACACACCGACGCGTACAAAATGGATTATTATCAAGGAAGGAAAGAATAATGCACGTTCTCTGTAATCCCTACTGTTGAGCCCCAAGCAGCTAGCTATGAATTTCGCATACGAAGAAGGAGCGGTATCTGTGGCGTGGCGACGGAAACGGGGGACCGTCTTTGCCGATGGTGAAATTGTTTTTGAAATTCTTTCGATTCTCATTTCACAACCGTAAGTTTTTTTTTCGAATTCTTCCATCGACTCGAACGATCCCCGTTTCCCTCGACGGCACAAGCGATAAAAGTCGTGTTTCTATGTACAAGTTTCGAGAAGAGTTAGTGCGCATGCTACTTCCCCTAAATGTCGACGAGAAGAAAGAGAAATAATAATGAAAAAAAAGTAATAATTCAAAAGAGAAAGAATGCAATCGGAAAAGAGCGCAACCGATCCAGCGGAGGATCGCGATCGATGGCCAAATCGTCGTTCGTCGAGCAACGGGAAATACAGACGGGAACACTCGTGAACGAAAAATCGCCCGACAATTTTGAATCTTCAGTTTTATGCTTTCTTATCGTTTCCGACTGTATCCACCGCGATTCGGCGAAAACGCGAGTGTCACCGAGGGCGATCATCGACAATTCCGGCGACAATGTACAAAGTGTTGTTCCTGTTTTTTGTCAGAAATGTGGGGATAGAGAGAAAGATAAAAAAAATAAAGACAGAGAGATAGAGATCAAAAATGCTGAAGGCGAAGAACACTCTCGGCAAGATCATCGAGATGAATTCTCGTCGCTGGGTGGGGAGGAAATTTCAAACAAAAAAAAATGATTTTATCTGGAAAGAGTTTCGCTTGATTCAACGCGAAAATCAAATAAAAAAAAAAATTAATAGAAATAATACGTGATTGGCGCGTGACGGTGAGGTGGAATGTTTCTTTTTCTGGTTTGCATTTCTGGTACAGAGTATTCGTCTTTTGACACATTTATTCAATTGAAAACGTACGAAACACGATAGGAGTCGCAGATATTGTTTTTTTTTTTTTTTTCGTTAATACTAGTCGCAAGGATTTTGCGTTCGGACATGATCAGTCTTAACGAGAGCTCGCAATGGAACCTGTGCTTCTTCAGGTTTAATAGAAAATAAACGCTCGTATTATTCCTACGCTATAATTTGTTTTCTTTTTTTTTTTCTTGGTTTAAGGCCAGATCGTCCAGCTTTTAGGAGAATCGCACTTATTGTCTTGGGCGATCGATTACCATCTACGTTAAGGCACTTGATTAGTAACGTGTTCTAAACAATCAAAGAAAAAAGACAAAAAATAATTGTATTCGAATCATACATAAGGAAAAAAAATGAAAAAAAAAAATCGGTATAGTAAAACTTATCTAGTCAAAACGAGAAAAACGCAAACGTGATTACAAGAAACTAATGGTAAATTCGATGTACAGTAAATAAATATATATATATCAGTCGATGCTTCTTGTATCAACGAAACAAGACTTACGATTAATCGATACACGCCTCTATAATAAACGATATATATGACACTCGTTGTTTCTTTTCTCTTTTTTGTACGTTCGGCTAACTTGGAATGAGTATTTCTCACGCACGATCGTTTTCTTTCCATAAATATCGCATTATATACATAATCAAAGAAAAAAAAACATAAAAAAATATATACGTAGAACGGAGTCGCATGATTGAAGCACATAAAAAGAAAAAGACTGATATATTCAGCGACTCGACGTTTTGTAAATAATATCCATGATCGATTTAGATACGTAGATACTTCGATCGAATCAATGTTCCTTTCGCTGTAACGATTTTTCGTCAGAAGACTCGAGTGATGTTTTAGTATAATTATAAAAAATAGATCATGTCGGGGGTAGACTCGAGCAATCCGCTTCAGGAACTCGCAATAACAACTCTCACCACCCCCCTTGACTCTGCGATCACAAACGTTACAGTTTGATCGAACATGAATGTTCCGTTATAATTCATCGACAAATGGACCGATTAACAATTTGAAATTTATTGACCGTTTCGAAACTTCGAAAATTTCATGTTCAAAAGTAGCTGTCCCACTGAACTCTATACTATACCTGGAACGATAACAGAGTACGGAGAACCCTGGATGAGCCGAGCCACGGGAGACAATTGTACAGTAGATACCTCTATTCTTTATTACACTATCCTGTAGTAAATTTACTTACTATCCTGTATCAAATTCGGGTATAGACAGATATACACTATTAGATAGCTAACCCAGACTCCTCTCGATTATCGTCCCAAACTCGGGTCCGCGCTGGGACAATAATCACATAGGGAGAAATGTTTCAGACCCTCGTAAATTCGTTTATTGCCAGAAGCTCGAGCCTCGGCAACAAAGTCCGACAGGTTCCACGCCCCCTCCCCCATATATGTGGACAACAATCGTGTAGAACAAGCCAGACAATAATCAAGACGAGTCTGTATATGCGATTGTACGTTCATAAGTGATGTGTGTAAGAATGAAATAAGGATACCTCACTTTATTCTCTGTCTAGCAGGCCAGCTCCACCCCCAATACTCACAGTTATCGTTCCAAGTATAGTATAGAGTTCAACGAGCTACCCCTGACAACTCTGCGAACGAATGAAAATATTACTGGAACGAAGTGTTCCGCTCAGAGAATCTCAAGTTTCGGCGTGTAGGCAAGCAGATAGGACTCGACGTCCCCTATCTTGTCGATGTGCTGACGGCGTATGTGCCTCAGCCAATGGGCCTTCCGTTTGCAACGCTGCGGACAGAACGGGCACTGAAACTGCGGTTCCTTGCCGCACTCCCAGTGCACGTGCCGTTGCAACGAGTCCTTCCTCATGTACGATCTTCCGCATCTGCTGCAACCGAACTGTCCAGGCGGCTTCTTCCCGACGTAGTTGTACGCCTTCGGTATCTTCAGCTCCGCGAACGGCAACCCCTGTTCCTGTATCTTCCACGCTTGTACCGGAAGATCCGCGTTCTCCATCGGTCCCGTCGTCGTCTTGTACTCCGTCGGGTCATCTGGAAATCCCGAAAAAAGAACAGCTTTAGGCTTGTCCACGGATGACGATCGACGCCTCTCTGTTTGCACTTTCACTGAGCACACACACACACTTCGTTTACTTGTATACTTGTGTATATATATATATATATATATATATATATATATATATTATATGTATATATACACACGGACGAATATAATACCTGACCAACCCGCCGTTGCCCAGATACCACATGACGCCTTAAAGACGTCGATTTTATGGCTATTTTACGTTTAAGGCGTTTTTAAGCCGTCCTCAAGACGTCATTAGGCGACATGTGCTATCTGGGCAGAATTTATCCGAGGGCGTCCCAACCTGGTCCGGTTGACACGATAAATCTGGTTGATTTTGTAGTTCGTCGATTCTAACGAAGAACAGGGGCGCACTTCGCGTATCGTTGGCGGGGTGGAGAAGTTTTACAATAGTCAGTGTGTAGGGATATGTGTGTTGGCATAGGTCGCGATTTGCCAATCGATGATAGAGGAAGTTGATTTTAGAGGTTTGATACTATCACGAATAAGGACTTCCATATTGCTCACTCATGAATTTTGGGTTTCGGGTGGTAAAGTATACTAGGAATTCGTTTTTCTTTTTGTACGTGGAATAAGGGTACGGATGATAATTTTATTTCGATGAAATTCTGTCGGTACGGTGTGTCCTCGGTTTTCGAAGGAAACGTACCTGTTCGGTGAGTACTTACGTCTACGCTTCACAACCATTTGGGATAATTTAATGAAATTAAATGAAAAACGTTTGGGGTAAATAAAAATAACACTGGCGCGCTTGTCACTGCGTCTTTTGGCAGATTTTTTGGATTTACTCTTCGCTCGTTGTGTCACTTTGTATTGGAACGTGAAACTTTCGAGGTTTGTTCGCTTCGAACAGCTTCCGTTGAATAAGACTTGTCCTCGGATCGGCTTCAGATTCGACGACTCTCCCATAGATACTGCAAAGACAGAAACTTCTTGTCTATACTTTGCATTTTACGATGGACCCATCATGATTTCGGAGATACCACCTGAAAAAATCAGACATGGATGTACTACTGCTCGAATATCCTTCCTCATTTAACAATGTAGCACGAGTGAAGTAATCAGATGCATTGTTTAAGAGACTTTAAACAATTTCTGCAACGAAGTATCGTTTAATAGATAGAAATTATTATACAAGATAGAATATCAACATTACGGAGAATTCATAAAAATGATCGTTTATTCTAAAAATGGAACACAGTACGGTAGGGCTAATTATCAAAAAAGAGTACGTGTATAAACTGTAATAAATTCTGGGAACGGTATACATATGTTTTTTTCGTGTTCTTTTCGACACACATTGCCGAACGTAAGTCAAATCAACAGTTCGATATCAGTCTCGTTAACGTTAGCAGAGCACCTAAGCTCTGGCAATCGTTGGAAAATCGTGATTTATCGGTCATGTGACAGGGAATATCTTATGTAACCTCTTCTGATGTTCCACTAAACGGTCACGCCTGTAGAATTTCTTCAAGCACACATCGCAATGGTACTTGGGCTCCTCGAAGTGAAGCTTCATATGCGCCGTCATGTTGTGCTTGTACTTGAACCAACCCTGGCATATCCTGCACTGATACTTAGGCGCCTTGCCGCATTCGACCCGCATATGACGCTTCAAGCACGACATCCGCAAGTAGAAACGACTGCAATTCGGACACTTGTAGGTCGACGGGCCGAGTGGCGTGTGAATTGGTTCGAATAGATTCCGATTTCTCGACTCGATCGACGTCATTTCCGTTCGCTGAACGTTGATCGTGTTCCTCGGCTGCGGTTGCAGCTGTATCCAGTAACCTGAAACGAAAAGAAACGATGAAGAGAACGTTCCAATTGACGGGATGCTCCGTTAACCACCACGTTTACAGGTTAATATTTTTTTTTTCCAAATATTCGAGAATGTCGGATTAATTAATCACACATCGAACACTCGTCCATTACCTGGTCTGTCTTAAACATTCGCTTGTTTCTTCGTTGCTGAGAACTGTAGGCGAAAGAGTTTGTTAGTTAATTGGTACAGTTACAAGTGAATTTGCGTTTGTTCGATGCGATATACAATGTTTCTGTTAGGAATTACTTAACTGAAAAGCTACTACGATGGATGGTAAGGGTATTTAATGACGGATAGAAAGGATTTAGTAACACTTCAGACTGAAATACATACGGTTACCTGTATATGTGTATGCGACATGCAATAAATGGGAAATAATTTGGGAAATATAACCTTTATTTTTTCGTAACAATAGATATCAAGAATTCGAAATACTAATTCAAATGGGAAAGTCATAGGACGATACGGTTACTCTGTAGGTCTTACAGTGTAGGACATTACCCATATCAACGTGATAAAGTGTACGTACAAGACACGCTGTACCATACAATATTTGCCGGGCGATAATACGGACCAAAAAAAAAAATTTTTTCGAATGATTCAAAAGTGTCGACTTTTATCATGTCATAAAATCACTGATGACAAACCTCAATTTTCATACAAACTTAAAGGAATAAATTTCTGATGTAAATAACATTCGATATGTTAAATCAATAAGACCAAATCGCTTCGAACCAAAAAATATTTTAGAAACGCAGTAGACGCAAATTTCATAACAATATATATATCATAAGAAAAAAAAATTTCATCTGAAATTTCAGGATTCGAATATTTTTCTATTAAATAAGTACGAAAGTTCTGTGTACTCTGATCAGTACCTACAAAAATAACGAGTGACTTCTGAAACCAGGAATTCACGCGTAATATACAATCATTTTTCTGTATACGTTGGAGAATCGATTGGCACTTACAACTTGAAACAGGGGATACACAAATAATATAGAGAAACATCAATTACAGTTGCCACGATGTACCACTAAACATGAACAGAACTTTCATACTCACTGCTCCGCGAAACGTTAAAAACATAAGGCCAAGCTAACGCGCAACTTTCCTTTTGCAGCGTTGAAGTCTCCAACGCAGCCCATATTAAACGCTCATCACCCTTTTGGCGTTGAAGTTTCCGTAAGGTGCGCGCGAGCGCAAGCAAACTGGCTCTCCTGGCGTTGAAATCTCCAGCATAGTCCATATAATTTACGGGAAGCACCTTCCTGCTCTGGCGTTGAAGTCTCCGTGGTTGCGCACACGCAGTAGCTTTCTTTTCCAAGGAAAGACAACGAGGTCCTTAAAAGGAAAGGACCCCCAACTGGTCAGACTTCGATTTTAACGGGGTTTTGTAAGTTGATAGAATACAAGTTCCTAATGATATATATAAAAATATTAGGTGTAGACACTACTAGATAATATTTAAGATATAAACTATTAAAGTTAAAGACCTCCAAGATGTACCATGAATATAAATCAAAGTTGTCAAAGTTGCGTAGGCAAAGTGAAACAGAAATATTTCAGTGAATAGGAATCGAACTCAGGATCTCCGATGTACCAAGCAAACAACCTTGAACATCAGATAAGTTTGACTTATATTCATAGTACACCTAAAACGTACGTAACTTTAATTATTTGTATCTTTAAAATTATTGAGTGTCTACACCTAACATTTCACACACATTACTAGGAACATGTACCGTATTACAAAACTCTGTTAAAATCGAAGTCGACAGTTTGGGTCCTTCTCTTGTCGGTGTCGCGAACGTACGCACACGATACAGCAGACATTCGTTTAATGTAGGCTAGTTTATCGCACCTTAGGAACGCCCCTTCTATTTCTCCAAACACGTGCGCGCACCCCACTCTGTCGCCTAGAAGATACGGAATACATACGCGGTGTCGCGTTTCAGTCGCATATTTTTCTTCACAGAAAGTGTGCTTTATATACAGGGTGAGTCACCGAGGATTTCCACCTGAAATATCTCCGTTGTTTTTAAAGAAAATATATATGGGAGAAAGTGTTTAGTGAATAAACGTTTTTCAACCGTGGTTCACCCCGGCACGTGTGTGATTGGCCCTCATTTATTGCATCGTTCCTGGGAATTCGGTCCTCTACACAGCCCCGAAAGTTGCAATAAACAAATGTCTACTGTAGCTTCCCCCGTGTGGACGTTGAGTCCGTCGCGTGCGCGAACGCTGGACGAAAATCAAGTCCCCAAACCGATTCATTTTTACACGAACGACAGATCTTCTTATTGGGCGTCGAAGTCACGTGGTCCGCCTGTCAGGCGGATCTCTCCTCCTTCTCGAACATAGCCGTTTTCACATCGGTCGCGTGAACATTATAATGCCTGAGCAGGCTGTGTTTGTGCTTGAATTTCGCGTGGCACAGTACACACTCGAACTGCGCCTCTTTCCCGCACTCGAGCCTCTTGTGACGCTGCAACGATATGATCCGTCTGTACTGTCTGCCGCAGGTATCGCACGGATACGTCTCGAAATTGATGGGCATCCGGCACCAGTACGCTGAAAACAAAAATTCACGGTTAGCAGAATTACACTTTCGACCGCCCCATACGCAGATAAATCGTTTTTCACAAACGGATGTAATACCACATACACTTTTGTATCGTCCTTGTGTACCTGTCCAGGCCTGTTGTTTCAAATCGTTCGATTTCTATGTTAGTCAAACGTAATTTTCGTACGAACGTGGGAGGGGAGGGGGGTGAAGGAAATGTCGGGATAATAGAAAATGACACGCACCGTCTTTAGAAAATAACCCGCAACAAAGATTGTCTTTTTATTAATAATAATATTAATAATAATAATGTTAATAATAATATTAATCGCTAATAATAATCGTGATAGATATTCCATAGTTCGCTTGGTAAACCTTTCCAAAAAAGAGAGTTCGAAGTGCTAAATACCGGAACGAGTATTCGAGGGAGGGGGTGGAAGGGCGGGGAGGGGGTGGGGAGATGGATCGATTTCCGATCTCTCCTCGCCAATAACGCTCGATCGATTTCGTTTTTAACGAAGACGAAACGAGGGAGACGATATAAGGCGACAAGAAATTCGAAAATCTTCTTAAATATTAAACGATTAATGGTTCGGTAACACGAGATTGACAACCAGTGAGGTACCAGGGAAACGGTGTAACGAGTATATCCTGCGTTTACCGCAGGCAGGTCGACGCGAGTATCCGCAAATACTGATATCAAAAATACCAGACGCGCCGATCGAGGGCGACAAATGTCCCTCGACGGGGTCCCTTTCTCTTCTCTTTCTTTACATATACATTTTCTCTCTCTCTCTCTCTTTCTCTCTCTCTCTCTCTCTCTCTCTCTCTCTCTCTCTTTGTGCGCGCGTGTAAATGTTCATACAAAAATGGATAACCGTTTGTTTGTTTTCTTAACAGTCTACGAGAATGATTCTGAAATATCTGGAATGTTCGAGTATGTTTCGCGACGTAGTATTTGTTGCTAGGGCCGATAATCTTGAATATTGAAGACACGCGCGATTCAATTCGATATTTAGTAAAAGTTACCTTTAGGGGGTGCGACTCCGATGACTTTGACCTTGACGTATATTGTTAAGGACTCTATTCTGAGGAACATCCAAGAAGTTATAGCCGTAGTTAGGTTTTTATTACAAAGTTATTAGTAAAAAAATTCACAACATATACTAGTTATTCTAACCAACTCCGATGAGTATAATACTTCAAAGTCAATTAGACACAGGTCAAGAAAAAAAAAGGTCATTTAGAGTTGGTTGATGATAGTTCAAAAAAAGGGTATCATTGTTCTCTTAATAACTTTTTAATAAAAATTTGATAACTGAAACTTTCTAAAGTTTCATTACTTATCAATACTACTAAAGCACGATACTAAATTCTGTTGCTAATAACATTTTAATAAAAAACGAGCTATGGGTAGAACTTGGGGATTATTTAAAAGAGTATCCTTAACATATGTCAAGGTTATCGGAGCTGCATCCCCTAATTGTAATTTTCACCCGAAGTTCTAACGAATATATTCCGTACCCGACGAAATCAGATATACCGGCTTTTTTGTTCGCTCAAGCAAACATATATACTAGATCCTTCATTGTTGGAATAATAAAATTGGGAATAAGTTTCTCCGCGATTGGTTAAGTTCGCTTAAAAATACAAAATGGTCCTTAACAAGTTCTAACCTTTCCTTTTGTAGCGTCGATTGTCCGAGTGTGCGGTTAATTACGACCGATTTGTTTGTCTAAGATCGGCCCCACTCCCGTTACCTGACGATAACGTTACACGGCTATATTAAGGGATCTCGATGCTATATATCGTTTAAGTGTTTCCGATACTGGGCGACTACGATGATTGAAAATACCATACACCATAAATACGATCGCGATAAATAGTTTAAGAAATACGATAAGGCATTCGAATCGTCCAGTGTCACTGAAAAAAAAAACTGCGAATATCGAATGGTCCCTCGTTAAATGCATAATTGAAGTACAGATTGAACGGTTCCTCGTGAAACGGCACGAGAAGGAATCGTTGGTCCCCGTGTTTCCGTTCGACATCATTGGAAGATCGCATCAATTATTTATTGTCTATGTGTAATAAGTCTATAAGGTGTTCTCAGGTAACCGATTCTCTGGAGATTATACTTTCGCGGAAATCACCAGCAATATATATATATATATATATATATATGTACGTAATTAGATTTACCTACGCGTGTTCTGTTTCCAGAGCCAAGGCACTTTTCGTTTTTTGAAACCCTTATCTTTCTTACGCTCGGAGTATGATCGGTAATTTTTGTACAACTACCATCTCAGTTCCATTTCACCTTAAAACTCATAACGTGTCTTGCAAGATCAAAAGTTGCGTAATATCTAACGATAGAAAAATACCTTAAGTGTAAAAGTACTAGAAAATATAGGGGTAGGGGGGAGAACTGTACGGTAAAAAATTTGCAACAGTGGTAACACGATCGTCAATTTTGTGCCGACGTTAATACAATTAAGAAGAGAGCCGGACTGCCCTGATCCTACAACGTGTGTACGTTATTAATTTGTTCCTTTGCACTCGCTTTAAGTCGATAAAATCCTGAGACTCGAAAGTAAAAAGAATATATAACGATCATTCGTTGGAATGTTTGTTTGCCCGTTGGTACGATCGTCATAGAAATTATAACATCTCTTCCAATCTGGCTCGATTCGAAGCCACATTCGAGAAATAAGAAATTACGAGTAACATCGTGATTAACTCATAAAGAACTCTTATGGTAATACAAAGCAAAAAAAGAACCTTTAAATAAAAATAGACAGATTGAGATTATGTACACGTAGAACCGAAATACCACGATAAATTCTTACGCCTGAGGTAATAACTCGAGATAAATTGAGATTAATCTAAACCACCCACGATAGTCCGTAATCAACGACTTTATATACGAACGCTTACTCCTCTAAAACTCTACGAATACCCGAACTACAAAAAAAAATTTGTAAACACTTTCCACATATCGGGGAAAATTAACGTTTCTCGTGCTTTCTTTTCTTATGTACAACGATTCTTCCCCGAACTATATTACATTTCCACGGTCCAAGAATTCAACACGTCCCCATGCTGTGTGGGCCACCTGTGGCCATTAAAAATCTTACTCGAACGATTCTATTCTTCGATCTTGAATTAAACCCGTAAGAAATAGGTTGTCCAAAACAAGGCTGACCAATTTCATTACAATACACCATAAGAACGAAGATTCAACTCGGTTGTTCTTTTTCAATATTCTAAATCAAGATAACTGAACTGAATTCCGGACAACCTACATCCCCCACAATCAAATTTAGGGCCCAGTCCAAGGGGGATCTATGCCAGAGAATGTTGAAAAATGGGATTATTATTAATTCTGGTACCTTTATAATTACGTGGCAAAATTCCTGCATATACAGGGTGAGTCAATGAGCACTACTATAAAATAACTATAACTTCTATTATGAAAAAAAAAAGAAAATTGTTCTACAAGATACCAAAAAGATGCAGTGAGAGCGGGATTAATGTCACAACGGCTACTGTTCTGGCACATAGTTTCCTCTGGCACCGGCGCCCACAAATGTTCCCAATCCACCTAAGTCACCGGACAAAAACCTGAAATTCCAAGCAGCAGCACGAGACCACTATTCGAGAAGAAACATCCGCGTGATATTTCCAGGACGATCGTGCCCAGGCGTCGCGAATCGATCGAAAGCAGAAAAAAAAAAGATCATTAGGCGCCCTCGTCGAAGTCCATCTTCTGATGGTGTCGCTTATAATGAACGGTTAGGTTGCCCCTTTGCCTCGCCTTGTACGGACACTCGGGGCATTGAAACGCGGGTGGTTTGCCGCCACATTCGACCATCTCGTGGCGGCGCATCGTGCTTTTCCATCGGTAACCTTTGCCGCAGAAACGACACCTGAACTTCCGTTGTTGCTCGTGCGGCACGCCCATGTAGATCACGCTCAGATCACGCGGCTGCGGCAACACCTCGAACGAATCGGGGAACACCACCTCGCGGGTCGACGTGCCCCTCGTCGCGTTGTTGTTGTCCATACCGCTGTCGTAGCTGTTGCTGTCGCCTGCGTTGCTGCTCGCCCGTCTGCCAGCGACCACGACGTTGCGCCTCATCGTGGTGGCTGACGATGTCGATGAACGAACCGCCTTCTTCCCCGTTTGCTGCTGGTACTTGCAGTCGGACCTCAACAACGACAGCAACGCGACCATTCCTGCAACAGGTCCCGGCGCCAAGCGAGACGCGAGATCGAGGCAACATAGGTTATTTTAATCAAATGAAAAGAAAAATAAACTGAATGGTAAGGGGGTTGTGGGTAACGAAAATTGGGGAAGGGGAGTGGATAAGGTGATGGGTGGATGTGGTAATCCTGATCGATGGTTGTTATGCGACTGGCGAGAGAGATCAGTGAGATTAAAAACCCGTAACCAACCCAACACATAACGTAATCAGCCAATAGCCCCGAGAGATAGGTGCGCCCAGGGTAAAAATTTTGCCGGTGTTTACGTGAAGAGGCAGTGAGGTTCCGAACCAGGTCGCGAGGGAAGATGGAAAGACCAATATGGATTGTACATAAGTGACTCGATGAATGTAGTGTTTTACGTTCTTTTGTTTTCTTTCGTAAGATCTTCTGCTAGTCTTCGCATCTTCCCTGCCCAGGGTCGTAAATGAAAAAAAGGATGCCAATTTCCAACCCCTCCAACAAAGTATATAACCAAGAAAAAAAACAGGATGCTTCGGTGATTGATCGTAGGATGTCTCAGTCCGTGGGTACATTCGGATAGAATGAAATGAATGTACCCTCATAAGCAAACTTGGCTTTCGCTAGGGAAAAAAATGGCATAAGGGAAGGGCCACCCACCAGTTGGTGTCGAGAGTTACTAGAACTTTAATTAAAATTACCATTCGATTTAACAATTTAGTTTAGTACTTGGATTAAAATGACCAAGTGGTAGGAGGCTCCTTCTCTATACCACTTTTTTTCCTAGTGGGAGCCGAGTTTGCACGTCAGTATACAAGTATCGGTGAAATCGTGGAATTCGACGTGGTTTGTTTAATATACACAGGTGTTTGTATTTTTTGTTTCTTTTTAGTAACACTTTCTGTACAGTTCAGAGGCTAGCCCCGATGGACACAGTTGGCAGATCGAAGTATTCTCCTTCGTTCTAAAACCGTGGGGATAATGTCGCCATGTATATATATATAAATGTAGAAACGGTAAAAATGCTCGCGGGAACGATTTTACGTCGAGTGATACGAACGATTCACGGTGTCCGTGTGGTTCCATCACGTTTTTGTGTTTGTGCGAACTATCTTCGAGTGAGTTCTTCTTTGGCAAACAGGACAGATCGTTATTTTTTCTTTCTCACACACACACACGCACACACACACATATTGGACGTGACATTTCAGGGAATGGGGAACGTTCATTCTCGTGATTACAATTTAATTCGTAACAGTGAACAGGTTTTCCATCGAAACGGGCCGCGACAAATGAAATCCTGAAACAAACGGATCTAGATAAATTCTGTGGTTTTAACAAACTGAATTTCACGTGCTTCTTGACCATTTCTCTCCTGCGGAATAAACGATTCATTAGTATACAGTCGCGATAAAGATCGTATGTGATTTATTTTCATCGTTCCAGAATCGTGAGGATCGATCATAGCAGGAGGGGAAGACTCGAATACATCTTTATTCGTATCAATTACAATATCACCGTATACCATCAATCAAAATATTTATTCGTCCCACCACAGTCACTCCAACCGCATTTTCTGACTTCTTATTGATATTTTACCAATTCGAAATCAGAGAGATTCTTCCGACCATCGATGATCGTTTTAGTTCCCCCAATTCACACATCATGTTCGTTGTTCACTGACGATCAAAATGTACTTATCCACCATACCTGGAAGTGCATAAAAATCTTTCCTATTGGTAGAACACATACATTTCCCTAGTTTCACCTATAAAATGTCTAAAACAGTCTTGTGCCATTTACAATACGATCGACAAACGATTGTATCGTCTGTGTACGTCTCCACTACAGTACTGCCTCGATACATGTCACCCACCGTGGATCGCTTCCGTTCCTGTGATCTACGTCTTCGATTTTTCTGTTGCTCTCACGAGCAAAAATGGAACCTACCAGCGTACCATGTAACGAGGGATCACATCGTAATATCCGATCGCCAGCCTCTCCGAGGCCGATTTCACGATCGTGAAGACGTATTTTATTGACAATCAGAACCGACACACGGTGTCGCGGTTCTATTTATTTATGTAACTCTGCAGAAATTTCCGGTGTTTGTGGGCGACGTGCGAATCCAAATTGAATTTCCTCTTCGAGCTGAAGCGACAATAGGGACAGTGGAACTGCGGCAGCATGCCACACTCGAGCTTCAGGTGACGATACAAGGAGGACGCGTTCGAGTAGATCTTCTGACACTTGACGCACGGATACATTCGCCTGGGCTTGCCTGACATCCTGGCCAAATGGTGCAGCCGGAAATCTGCGAAAAATCGTGGCGTCAGTGGAAGGTGTCCGAGAACCAACGGGAACAACGAGGGTTGCGACTTAACGGTTAGATGGGAATCAGATCGGAATGAAATTGGGAAATTCGAGAAATGTATGAGGCACAGTAGTAGCGGTGTCGTAGGTTACGTTTGCGTATCGAAAAAAAAAAAAAAAACGAAATGAAGAATGCAGTTAGAAAATTGAGTCGTTCGTATGCCAAAGTGGTTAAGTCCACGAAAATGATCAAGGAAATTCCATTTCAAGTAGGAAAAGTTAAACACCGATCAAGTTCTTTGGCACAAGAATTTTTAGAAAAAATTTCAAAAGTGGAGTCAGCCACTTTGGTAGAATGAACAAGACTCAAATAATGATTCGCCTGCACGATCGAGTCTCGAACGACATACTCACTCGGGCAGATAAAACGAGAAAATCGAGCGATTTTAGTTCCTCGATAAAATCACAGCCTGATAAAATGGGATCGAAACGACGTTGTCGGGCCCGAATTTTTCTTTTCTTTCTTTGCGAATAGTCTCTTGTATCAGAATAGAATAACAGTTTATTTCTATAAAAAACGTATCCTAAATAACAAGAAAAAACGTCGCCGCGTATCAATTGTTCACGTTGTAGAGCATTTTGTAGTGAATCTGTCGGATGAACTCGTCGTTGCCAGATGTGAGCAGAATCGGCCAGCATTCCGGGCTCTCCCGTACATGTCGATGGAGGGACTTCCGCCATTTGTACGACTTCGAGCAGGCCAAACAGGTGTTCCATTCTGAAAAAGAAACCCGTTCGTCTAGTCAGTGATTGGATATCGTGGACCGCAATGCCGTGAATTGGGCGTGTGTGTATGTGTGTTACTTCTCGCCGGTGCACTGTGTTTTCAACCTTTAATCTTATTCGCTAAGCCAAAAGTCTGCGTTTTATATGTGTATGTTTCGAGAGTGCAAGAGATGGATGATCGATGAGATCGAAGGCTTTGGAAGATTGTCGAGAAAAGTACATTCTAAACAAAAACGGGCAAGAAAGGGTGCTTAACCGAGGGATCGACAATCGAATGTAAATTGTGGTATATATATGTGGAACCTATGAAGCGCTCAGTGGTGGGGATGACGTCTGGACACTCAGTGCCGAGAAGCCTCCGAGCACTTATCGATAATTTACTGTATTCGAGCTTTGCATAGATGATGGTCTTCTTTTTTCTTATCAGACGCCTGCCTCTCTCGATATAGAGATTGTTTTCCCAAAATATTTTCATTCATTTCGTCAATCTATTTTATTGATATCTTCGACCATCATCAACATGTTCAGTCTCAGACTATACGGACACACAAACTACCATCATCTTTCGCAATCTTCCGAAGCACGTCGGTTCCCCGCTCGACAACGATCCATTTAATATACCGTGAGAAGAGCTCGTGTACAGGAAGTTTGCCCGTCCTCCGTTATTTTCCTCGAGAAATAGCCTGGAAATAGAACTGTTTCTCCGTAGTGACCAACTCCCACGTGTATTAGACCGGACCACTCGTGAGACAGATCAGTAGCTTCTTTAGTGGTTTATTTACAAAGACGATATTTTGGGCATGCTTGCGGTAGTAATGTACACTATTTTACAGAGAATTCACGTTTTATGGAAGGGAAATCACACAACAGGGTGGTATGGATCTCTTTCTCTCTCTTTCTTTCTGCTTGGGAACCATTTTCCAGTAGCTCTACACCGATATTTTCTCTGGGCTATCGATGATGACGATCGATTTAAGGAAATTTCACGGCGATCCGCGATCCAGGTGGCGGTTTCGTGAAACACTTTCCAATGACGGTAGGAGGCTGTCGATCGCCGATGGGTGATTGACCGCTACGGTCGTTTGTCATGACTTCGTGGACCCGTCGCGACCTCAGCCGTGCTTTTTCCGGATGTGTTTCAATAGGTTACACCGTAACTTGCTCCTCTTCGGGCAATACGGGCACTGATGTTTCGGTAGCTGGCCGCATTCTTCCCGTATATGCCTGGTCAACGAGCTGTAATACATGTACACGTTCCCGCATGCCTTGCAATGGTGCGATTGGTTCCCGATCAGGCAACCTGTAAACAAAAATAGATCACAAGGATCGGTTAGTAGAATCACGAAAGCGTCTGGACGAAACGTTTTCTCTTCGCTGAATACCTGATACACATCGCGGCGCCAGCTAACTGTCAACATCCTCGATCTGTCTCGGAGAATGTCTCGTCGAATTGCCTAGGGCTCTCTCTATTGACAGTTAGAGGATCTTATGACATTTCGCTGTTGCACGGTTAACTTTGTTCAGTTAGCCGTGGAAGGGTCCGATTAAACACAAATCAACGAAAAATCGATTTAAATACTACGAACCAAAGATTGTCTATGTGCACATAAATTTTCCTCCGCTTCGATCACATATCTTGTTTTTGTAAGATCGTTCAACGGACTAGATACACCAAAAAATGACAAATGAAGCTTAATCGTATCACGAAGAGTGAAGCGTATCGTATCACCGTTGTGTATCAATCTAGATGGACAACAAATGGATATATAATGGTGGTACGATACCAGGATACGCAATAATGATTCTTGCCGCCTGAGGTATACGTGTTATTTAGCTCCAAGCGGTAAGAATCATTGTAGCAGTGTATGCAACAGCGACTAATGCTACGTCTCCACACAAGAACAACTATCG